ATCCAAAGGCTTAAGGAATTTGAGATGCTAAAGCGAATTTATTATATAAACCTTCTCATCTAGACTCTATATACCCTAAGAAGATAGATGTAGAGATGCTTCCTGGTCCAGGAAAATAGAAATAGATTTGTGAGAAGAATCCCAACATCATGAACACCTCCATTGTGGTTGTTTACTGTAGGAAAGAACGACAGCAAAAACTGATGCATTGAGTCTGGACACTTGAATCCAATGACTATGATGGTATTCTGGACTGGCAGGTGCTGATTCAAGTCAGACTTCAGAACAGTTCTGTTTATACAGATGAATTAAGACTAGAGTGGATTGCCTATCTATTTTTGCCATTAGGACACCACAATTCATTAACTGATGACATCAAGCCATTCTACTATCAATTAAAATAATCATGCCCACTTCATCCTCTAGAGAGAAGACAGAAGAAGTCTTATTGAAAAATAATGCTGATTTCCAGATACTATGGAAGTCTGATACCAGCTTGGACAGAACTATAGGACAAAGTGTTAAGCAAATATTTTAGAAAAAAATTAGCAAAGTGTTTTTTTCTTAAATGCAATGATTCCTGTGAGTAAATACAGGTTTGCTAAGAGTAATTCATACCAAAGTGGTCTCCTCTGTTTCTTGAATGGGTTTACTAACTCATACAAACTATCCGTTTTCTAGAATATGAAGTTGATGTTAAATTTCAAGTGAAAAAGCAGTATGATCAAGAAAACCTAGATTTTATTACAAACATTAGTGGCAAACCAGAGAAAAACTACTCTATTGTTATCTGCATGATCCACCTACAGTTAAACTGTGAACATATTTTAAAAGAAATGTTAACCAAATAGAATAGTCCACAGCAAGAAACACACTTGATAAAGGCTCTAGATAATGAATCACCTGAAAACTGGTGTAGTAATTGGGAATTTTGTATCAAAAAATAAAAATCCTATCACTACCTGTTGAGAGAACATCAGTTAATTATATTTTTTTTTAAAGCTTGAGCATATGAAATAGGAAGCTCAGTTGTTTTGGGTGACTTCAAACAAAGCTCTAAGAGTAAATCAGTACATTTCCAGGGAGGAAGTCTTAAAGGGTACAGTATTCATAACAGACTTTTACTTGCTGCAGCTGCTTACTGATGGAATTAATAGCTTTAGAAAGCTAAGGGTTCTGGGCTCTGGGAAAGTCCATGCAGAAACTGGCTGTCCACGTGCTATAAATGCCTCTGATGAGGGCATTCAATAGAGAGGAGGTTGAATTAGATGAATTCAAGACCTCTTCCAATCTCAGAGTCAACTGCTTCACAAAAGACGTGAAAAGAAGGAAAATGCACTTCTAAGATGCGTGGCATAAACGTTGTGGGCAGGACATGAGAGGCACACCGGTGGTTCAGAATGCTTGATCCCAATACATTCTGCATCCATGAAATACCATGATGAGCTCTCCTATCTAATTTAAAACACAAGATTTAATTAAATCAGACCTTCACATTCCATTTGGCTTCACTGAAAGAGAGATTTGTTAGTTGTTTATAAAGAACTTGTTTAAAATTGAGTATCAGATAGGGTACAAGATACAAGATGTACATTGAGAAGCAGCCTCATGACTTTATTCCTCATATTTCACACTGGCTGAAGCCCTGAAATGAAATACCGCTCACTTGTTTTGTCTTGGGCTTTGAGGATGAATTTTTAGAGGAAGATGTCATAATTTTTCCTCTGGCTACAGAATTATCCTAAGGTGTTGCCACAGTCAGGTGGAATAGGTTGGTATTGGTCAACTCTCAGTTACTTCCAAGGCCTCAAACCGAGTTCTTTTCTTAGCCTCTGGGGAACTGGTATCTGCAGGGAAATCAGGAGGCTTGGCCCCCTAACTGCCTTCAGAGCACATTGTGGGAGGTGTAGACCAAAGGTGAGTTTACACATCAGTGACTAAGGTTTCCTGCCACTAAGCATAAGAAGTCACTCATGAGCAGCGTCCCTAAACCACAGCTACAGGATGTGGGCACAAGCCCTTGTATAATTGTTGGCCAAGTGCCAATGAGCATTCATCCCTGTGCAAATACTTGGGCTTTTTTTTTGTTGTTGTTGTTAACCTTTGAAAACCACAGGCATTAGTCTCTCTCTTTCTTCCCCTTTGGCACAAGTCTTTTTTTTTTTTTTTTATCCAACTTTGTCTCTTGTGTGTAAAGAATTTCCTAGGAGGTTTTAAGGCTAAATTTAATATCTTTGCCCTCCCCTCAACTGCCCCAGAATATGCCAGGCAGGGGTAAAGCTGCCTTACAAAATACCTGCTGGCTGTGCTGGCTTCCGCAGCTTTGTTTGGGCATTTTGATCAGATAGGAAATCACAGAGTTCCACGAGTGACCTTAGCCTTTAAGAAAGTCAGGGTAACTTCTGGAAATTCCCCCTAAACAACTATGATCCATTGTTTCCTCACCTCAGAACTAAACCAGCAACCACAGCACATTGACTCAGGTAACTTGCTTTTCCCCTTGAAAATGAAGATATTATGTTGGAAAGAGCAGTAGGCCAGGAAAAAGAATTGGAAGAGTTAGCCTGATCCCAGTATTGCCAGAAACTCTTATTTCTGAGACATTTCTTCCTAGTTTTTAGTTCTTTGCTTCATGTTCTATGAAATAAAAGTTTTAGATAAGATGGTTTTGGTGTTTTTGTGGCTCCAGGGCTCTGTTAATTGGCTTTCTTAGTAATGTTCCAGCAAAAGGACAATAAAAGTGGGTGCCAAGGCAAGATCTGAAAGTAGCCAACTCATAAGTTAGCTTCTCTTTTCTGCTTTAGAAGACAGCCAAAGGTCAGAACTCTAAAGAGGCCCAATTGACCCTGGCAGGTCAGGAAGGGTGATTTTTGACATGTCTCCTCATATAAATACTAGAGAATCCATCAGCCTTGCCTCTGTTCCCAAATGTCTTACATCCCACCATGGAAACCCAAGCCAAACTTACTCCAGATCATAACATATATTTTAAATGGAGATGGCAGACAGCTGTCACAGGTTCTATGTGAACAAAAGGAGAACTATCTATCAGAGCTGTCCAAGATGTATCAGAAGACTGTGAGGAATATGTCTATGGAGAAGTTCAAATGCTTTCTTTCACAAAGGAGCCTTAATGGAGATTTTCTATTGGGAATTCCTGAATAATATAAGGATCAGATGAAGAAGATCACCAACCATGACATTGTGTGGTGATTTTCTTTGTCCTTAGTGCTTTCTATGTCTAATCCTGTTTCTTATCAAATTTTTGATGCCCCTTTAGGAAATTCTAGTGGTACAGTTCAGATGATACCCTGAGGGAAAAACCTATGAATGTATGTAAGTTCCCCTTTGAAGCTTAAAACAGAGACCAAATGAGAATACCAAGTGTGAAGAAGACAATTCACAGTCAGCAGGACCATGGTGACCAAGATTTAATTACTAGAGAAAACTAAATTTCATTTCCTTGGATAATTCCTACAAAATCCACATCAGTCTGCAGGCAAGTATTTTACCTTGTAGTTAACAAAATAATTTAGGCCGGTGCTGCAGCTCAATAGGCTAATCCTCTGCCTGTGGGGCTGACACCCCGGGTTCTAGTCCTGGTTGGGGCGCTGGATTCTGTCCCGGTTGCTCCTCTTCCAGTCCAGCTCTAGGCTGTGGCCTGGGAGTGCAGTGGAGGATGGCCCAGGTCCTTGGACCCTACACCCCATGGGAGACCAGGATAAGCACCTGGCTCCTGGCTTTGGATCAGTGCAGCACCGGCCGTAGAGGCCACTTGGGGGGGTGAACCAACGGAAAAAGGAAGACCTTTCTCTCTGTTTCTCTCTCTCACTGTCTAACTCTGCCTGTCAAAAAAAAAATTAACTTTGCTTCATTAAGTCCTCACAGGACCTTTATGAACTAGGCAGAAGTGGTTATCACTCCCAATTTGGAGATAAGGAAATTAAAATTTAAGACAGCTAAAGTAAATATTCAGGGTCTTATTTAGAAAAAAAAAAAAAAAGATGTAATTATCTAATCATTAGCCACAATTGTTTGGAGAACCAGAAGGGCACACTGGTCTTAAAGGAATATACCAATCATCTGGTCCCTCTTTTAACATGCCAAGTGATGGTGGGCTCATTATTTCAAGAGGCAAACCATTCCATCATTGGATATGTGTAACTGTAATAAGTTCTTCTTATCTTGAGCTACTACTCAAATTCCTGAATTTCTTCACCCTGTGGTCATAACCTTGCTTTCTAGATCCCATTTAACAGTTCATGGAATGTCCAATATGACAGTCTTAGTGAAATGTAAAGATGGTTCTCACATCATCTTTGAGTTCATATGAAACAGTTTGGGTTCCATTAAATGCTTACCCTGTTGCTACAGACTGGATCTCAAGACTAAGACATCTCTCCCTCCTCCTATCCCTTCTAAGCTGTTTCCATTGATGATGGTCCATTGGGTACTTTAGAAGGTCATTTGGGAGCAGTCTGGCTTAGAGTACAAGGGGGACAAATATGCAGAGAGAAGTCAATTGTCATGCTGATCTTAAATGGTAACTCCAAAGAATGTGCAGGACATTTCTGAGATTTCTGTCAACAAATGCCCTATCTTGAGGCGTGTGGGGGTTTTTTGGAGAGCAATATTATAATAATTTGCCAATAATGCCTGCTTCAGAACCACTGCCAAAACAATCCAACGACTTTTCATTCCACTACTGTTGACAGGACAGCTAAGGATTTCAACATTTCCTTTTACAGTTTGAATAAAAGTTCCCTGCCTTGGGGACTATAACAATATTTGCCATCATAAGGGTAAAAATCTGGAAGCTGTGAAGGGGAAAGATGGAAAGGAAAGAAGTATTAATGAAAGTAAATAAAGACAAAGTCAAAATGAAAGTTTTCAAGACTTAAAGTTTTGAATATCTGCATCAAATTAATGTTTATGAATGCATCAAAGAATAAACCCTGAAAACTAAGAAAAATAATCTATTTGAAGGAAATATTTTAAAGTAAACTTCAACTAAAAAACTAACTGGAATTGTAACATTAAATACCAAGGAGGGTGTCAAAGAGATATTGAATTTCAGAAAAGGCGAAAAGCTTACTGTAATAATGTTTATGGTATTCAAATTTGAAGCTTATTCCTCAATAAATTTAAATAACATAAAATTTTCACCTGAAAAAGAAAAGAAACTTGAAGAGACAAGAACAGAGGAGATAATGTCCTGAGGTTTTTCAAAATTAGATCTAACTCAGGAAGAGGGGGGTAAAAAGAATTAAAAGGAAAAAGAGAAACAGAAATAAAATGAGTTAAGACAGCATTTTTAAAATATGGTCATCAAAACTCTGTGAAATCCTTGGACACTCTAAGTGTTGCACTTCTGAGATCTTTTAAAAGAAGGAGGTTTTCCCATCTCCACTGCAAATATAGCGGTCCTACTTTTATCTGTTTTATATATTGGGCTTCTGCAAAAGTTTTCATTAGAAGAAAGTGGTCTGCTAATGAAAGAAATACTTGAGGGAAAAACTACACAAGGACATGACCCATTGAAAGTTCCTCCTTAGGGGTTGATACAATCAAATTGTGCTTTAGGAGATGGCAGTCAAGTGCAGGATGGATTGGAACAGGGATCCCAAGTAAAAATCTGTAGCAATAATCAGGTGAGTAGAATTAAAAACTTGATCAAATGACATAGTACTGAGAATGGAAAGGAGACATAATAAATGAACAATTTTAAAAGAACAATGATCTCTGAGTTGGATATCTGGGCATTGGGGTACATGTTAAGCCATATGGGATGTATTTGACATGGAATGTATTTGACAAAGAATTCAGAGAACTATGAATTGATGAGTATCAGGGATGGATTACTAGCACCACAAAAATGTTACAGGGAAATACAGGATTTTGAAATGTGAATATGAGGGGCCATTGAAAGAGTGATACGTAGATTACTGACAGATGAAAATGCAAAACTGAATTTTGGATAAATAGCAGAGATGAGCATGAGTATATAGAAGTCATCCCCTTATAACTAGTGGCTAAAATAATAAAGATGGTGGCACCTCAGTGAAACATTAAATAAGAGTACAGAAGACTAAGACCTGGAAAATGCCTACAATTAGGGAGCAGGATAAACTATAACTCAGACAGTCTACCTTAAGTTTGTAATAAAGTCCTCATGTGATAACATTTTTTTGATGGGCTCAGAAGTATTTATCTTCAGATTTTAAGGAAATTTGATTGTTTTATTTATGATCAGAAGGATGTATCTATCAATCAAGGTTTTAGATTTCCTGAAATATCAAATATTCAAAATCATGTAGCACTCTTTAAAAATAATCAGTCAGTCCAAAAATACAGTGGGCTGGAACATAATCTTCACTTATGATGGATAAAAGAGTCAAAAACCAATACTTCCACGGGCAAGGGAATACCCCAGTTTGTTGCGGTTTCCAATGAATGACATTAGGCCTGTGTAGGTCTCGATCACAATGGGTTCAGTTAACACCACCAGGCCCTTTCCTCTGCTGGATCCAGTGGCGTTCTTGTGGGCATTCTGGATAGCTGGAACAAGCTTAGACGTGAACCCAGACAACTGAAGAAGAAAGGGAGAAGGCACTGAGTTAGTGAATGCAGAGTAGGTCTAGGGACTCCCCTCCCCTCTGTTATTTATCTTTCTCCTAGAGCTGTAGTTTTCCTTACTTCTTTTTGTTTGTATGTTTGTTTCTTTAAGATTTATTTATTAATTTGGCAGGAGTTTCTTCCGGGTCTTGCATGAGGGTGACAGGGGCACAAGCACTTGGGCCATGTTCCATGGGTGGCAAGGACCCAAGCCCTTGGGCCATCTTCTGCTTCTTTCCCAGTCCCATTAGCAGGGAGCTGGATTGGAAGTGGAGAAGCTGGGACTTGAACTGGTCGCCATATGGGATGCAGGTGAAGCAGGTGGTAGCTTAACCTGTTATGCCACAATGATGCCCCCCTATTTTTTAAATTAATTTATTTATTTGAAGTCAGAGTTAGAGAGATCTTCTACCCATTTGTTCACTCCCCAGAGCCTGTAACACTCAGGGCTGGGCTAGGTTGAAACCGGGAGCTAGAAGCTTCATCAGGGTCTCCCACATGAGTGGCAGGGTCCAAGCACTTTAGGCATCTTCTGCTACTTTTCCCAGGTCATTTGCAAGGAGCTGGATCAGAAGTTGAGCAGACAGGACTCAAACAGGCACCCATATGGGATGCCAGCATCATAAACAGTGACTCTACCTGCTACACCACTTCTTATTTCTTATACATAAATTTATTTTCAGAATAGCTAACATTGCTTCTGCTAGTCTTTTAATAAATTAATCAGTTAAAAAGCTATGTACATAATAAAATTGCCTTCCTTGTCTTCTTTACTTTTCATTATTCATTATTTGTACAACATTAAGAAGTCAATTTAATAAATATTTGCTGATAATCTATTATTAATCAGACACTTCTTGGGTGCTGCTGAAGATTTCAAGTAAGATATAGTCTGCCCTCGAAGAAGATTCACTATAACAGAAAATCTAGAAATGAACTTGTGATGGTTAAACAAAGTCCACTAATATAAGCTGTAAAGAAAGTATTAAAAGGTAAAAGAAGTCAAAAGAGGGAGACATGCACATGGTTAAAGGATCAGAATTAATTCAAAAGCAGATAATTGATATGATCCTTACAAGAATAATAGGATTTCAACAGATAAAAATGAAGTTCAACAGGTTAGAACAGCCAAATGGATACCTGCTGTATTTGCCAGTTCAGCATCCTTTCCACGAAGAATATCTAGATTTCTCTTCAGAGACTTACCATCTTCCTCTTAGTTCAGAAAGTCGCATATCACCTAGCAGCAGGTATATTAATTTATTTCTTTTTTTCAAAAAGATTTATTTATTTATTTGAAACGCAGAGTTACAGAGAGGCAGAGAGAGAGAGAGAGAGAGAGAGAGAGAGGTTCACTCCCCAAATGGTTGTAATGGCCATAACAGAGCTGAGCTGAAGCCAGGAGCCAGGAGCCAGGAGCCTCTTCTGGATCTCTCAAATGAGTGCAGAGGCCAAAGGACTTGAGACATCTTCCACTGCTTTCCCAGGCTACAGTAGAGTTGTATTGGGAGTGGAGCTGCCAAGACTTGAATTGGTGCCCATATGTATTGGTGGCACTGCAGCCGGTAGCTTTACCTGCGTGGGCCCCATTAATTTGTGATAAATGCATCACTAGCTAATGTCATTTTTTGAACATAATAGGATATTCTCAACACAAACTAAGACAGCTGTAATGTAATCAATTAAGACAAATTTATGAGTCCACTGTTGCATATGTGATCCACTGCTGACTGAAACATTGTTAGGCAACACATCAACAGTTTAAACGAAGTTGATGTTCTCAAGCCTAACTAGAGAAATCCACTGGTCTGGTCACAGAGATTGATTTAGGTATGGGCATATGACAAATTTGGTTGTCAAACTGATAGAATATAAAACTGGAGGTTTATATAGTTATTTTTTTTTTCATATAGAGTAAACCTGACTAAGCAGGAAACCAACAAAGATGAAAGAACAAAGACATACAGAGAGATGAATTCTCGCAAAACTCAATTAAATTACTAAATGAGCTCACTCCTGTACTTTTAAGTTCAATGAGTCCTCCAAAATTATTTTTCAACGGGCCATGTTGCACTAAAGTTCCTTATTTTCCTTAAAAACAGGAGAGTAATTCAGGGAGAATTCCAGAGATGTAAACAAGGGTCTAAATGAGGAAAGTCCATCTCTTTGGATTTTCAGTAAGCCCTTTTACATCCATTATCTCATTCCGTGGCCAGGGAGTGCAGTGGAGGATGGCCCAGGTGCTTGGGCCCTGCACCCCATGGGAGACCAGGAAAAGCACCTGGCTCCTGGCTCCTGCCATCGGATCAGCGCAGTGCGCCGGCCGCAGCGTGCTGGCCGCGGCGGCCATTGGAGGGTGAACCAATGGCAAAGGAAGACCTTTCTCTCTGTCTCTCTCTCTCACTGTCCACTCTGCGGATTTTCAGTAAGCCCTTTTACATCCATTATCTCATTCCAATAAAATCTATCAGGTGAATCAAAAAAAAAAAAAAGTGTCATCATTTCCTTGCTAGAAATGTAGAAGGTAAATGAGTTATCTGCAGTTACTCTACTTCTACATCATGGTGAGTAGAATACTAGGAATATTGGTCTTAGCCTATTCACAAAGAGACCCAATCTATTTCCTAGGCAATGGCTCTCTGTTCTAAATTAAAACAGAGTTCATTCCAAGTCCAACCCAAATTATTAAGTATTCTCTATAAAGAGATCATTGTTCTTCCTTTTTTCTTCACAAAGTGGCCAATTTTTGCTTTATGTGATTAACACAAGAGTATCCACTTGTGGTAATTCATTGAATTCCAGTAAGAGAAGCCTACAGTCTTTCCCCATAATGTATATTTTTCACATTGGTTTTATTATGATTTTTTTTAGTAAATTGACATCTGGTTCCTTGATAATGCACCTGAGAAAATCTTTGTCCTGGACCAACCCTGGCCATTGTGGCCATCTGGGGAGGGAACTAGTGAATGAAAGATTCCTTCCTTCCTTCCTTCCTTCCTCTCTCTCTCTCTCTCTCTCTCACTCTCACTCTCACTCTCTTGCTCTCTGTAAGTCTGCTTTTCAAGTAAATAAATATTTTTTATAAAAAGAAAAAAACCCTAAAACTTAGAAGAATTTATTTATCATTACTAGCTGGAATAACTCAAACGAAAAGAAAATGTCAAGCAAATGAAATTTCTGAAGCATACTAGCTGTGTGACATTGTACATTCAATTCCTCTTTTTGAGTCTCAGTTTGCTGTTTTGAAAAGCATTGAAATCATGGCTTTTAAAATAACATCAGAGGTAAAATAAATTAATTTTTTGATGATAAAATAAGATAGAATGTACTAGAGTACCTCAACATCTGTGAGTTCTCAAAAAGCAAAATATTTTCCCTCTCTATTTTATTTAAAGTGACATTTATATGGGTAACATTTATATGACATTTAATTGGGTAACATCTATGTAAAAGAGAAAAATTGGATCTTTAGTCATTAGAAAGCATCAGGCAAACCAAAATTGAGAGACATTCTAAAAAATAACTGACCACAGTCATCAGAAGCAGAAGGTCATGAAAGCAAAGGAATGTCCAAAGGAATAACTACAGATCCAAAACTCAAAAATTATATTCATAAAGTGTAGTTAGTAGCCTAAACAAGATAGGTTATGAGGGTACTTCAAAAGATTCATGTGCAATGCATATTATGAAAACCCATGCATGGACTTCAAATTATGTTTGCACCAAAATAAACATATCTTTTAATTCCATATTTCCATGATCTTTCTGAAGTACCCTTGCATAGGACAGGGGATAGAAATCAACAAATTGAGAAAAATGTTATTGAGCAAAGTATAGGGGATTTAATAGGTAAACTGAGAGTCCAAGTGTTTCAGAAATCTGTCAGTGTCAAATGATAAGGCAGCTGAGCAGTGGCTTGAATGTACATCTCCTCACCTAATCCCCAAAGTCCTCCCTTCTATACAATACTGCTATTATGAGCAGTACAATTAAAATCTAATACTTAGTAAACATAGTATTAAAATCTAATTTATGAAAGGACTGATTTTTTGTTGACAAAGAAATAGAAAAATGTGGAACTAAGTAGTTTTTTATTTTAAAAAGTTCATTTATTTATTCGAAATGCAGAACTACAGAGAAAGAGAGAGAGAGAGAGAGAATCTTGCATCCACCAGTTCATTCCTCAAATGGCCACAACAGCCAGGACTGAGCCAGGATGAAGCCAGGAGACTGGAACGCCAAAAGGACCCTAGTACCTGAGCCATCCTCCACTGCTTTCCCAGACACATTAGCAGAGAGCTGGATCAGATGTGAAAAAGCTGGGATTCAAATGGGCACTTCAATATGGGATACCAGTGTTGCAAGCTGAACACAAGATTTATTCAAAGTTTGGGTGACCACAGGTAATTTTTCATCCAAATCTTGATTCTTTTGAAAATAGAGAAGGTGTCATTGTTAATATCTTTGGAACAATTGGTACCTGAGAGTCTAGGAAGAGGATGTGGGAAGAAAAGGCAAAAGCCAAGCAAGTTACTTCTTCAATCCCATCAACCACATCACTGAGAGCTTCTCTCTCTCTCTCTCCCTCTCTCCCTCTCCCTCTCACTCTCCCTCTCCCTCTCTCTCTCCCTCTCTCTCTCTCCAGTTTATATGTTTTATTTCTGAGTAATATTTAATTTTAAAAGATTTTAAGATGAAAATCACTGGACATAGATTGCCTAGGAACTTCTAGCTCTAATAATCTATGATTCAATCTACAAAGATCTGTAATACTCATATTCCTATCCATCTTTCATAACCAAGCTCAAATCCTATCTCCTGCATAATGCATTCCCATATACTGAAGGCTAATCTTTCCTTTTAGTACAATTCATTTACACCTACACTTAAATATTTCATCCAGTTTTTTTAAAGATTAATTTATTTATATGAAAGGCAGAATTACAGAGGCAGAAGGGGTTCACTGGTTCACTC